AAAAATTGGAGACTGTTGAAATGCAGATTTGAAGTACTTTCTTATTTTTATTTTTTGGGTTCCGCGACATTATTGTGGGAAAAAAAAAAGAAAAGTTGTTGTGCAATACTGAATTTTCAGACATGTACCACAAGTTAATGGTAGACTAACACTGAGGGGGGGTGGGGTCTAGGCATTGTGCTTTTGTCAGCATACTCTTGAGCTTTTAAGTCTACTATGTCTGAACTGTGGTTTCTTGTTTATCCTTTTTTTCTTTAGTTGGACTGTAATGTATGGTCTGTCAACCTGTGAATCTTTTAAAGTATGATTCAGGTATTGTTGTATTCTTTACTGTGTAATAAAAATGTTAAAAATCTGTATTCCTACCTTCTCTGTGGAACTTCATTCCTGATGTTCCCTCTGTGAATGGTACTTTGTGAATCACTAGCCCCAGCGCAGGAAAATGACACTCAGAGTGCTGCCATGGATCACGTAATCACATTTTTTCCAGCTTCTGAATGAGACAGGAAAGCCTTTTGTCAGGTTCTTGAGGGAATCTCTTCTGAGTTTCAGATTATGGCCCCATCCAGATAATTCAGATCTGTTTCTTGTTTGTGGCTGGGGGAGACCTCATAAGAAAACCCCCAAAATGCTGATGCTTTAGCACTTATATCAGAGATGTGCTTTGCCTTCAAAGTCAAACTAATGCCTAGATTAATTGCTGTCATAAACCATATCTGTTTTTAATGGTTCCTCTGCACTTGAGCTTTTGCACAGACATCTATTTTAAACTTAATGGGAATACTCATTAAGAAAAGGAAGCACCTTCCCAGAGGTGTAGACCGAGCAGTAACTTTTACAGCCTTTGTCCAGTGCAGTTCCCAAGGGTACTCTGGTACATGTGGGGCTTAATTAACCACGATGTCTCCAGAAGTAAATCCATTTATAGTGTGATTGTTACAGAAATTAAGACTGTCCTAGCAGGAGGAGAACATCATCAACATGTTTTCCCTTTATATCCAGTATTTGGTACTAGCTCTGCACCATGGTCTGCTCCAAGGAACTTCCTGCGAGTATGCAGACATTGCTGATTGCATTCAAACATTGAATGCATTGAAACCTTGGTGTTTTGCCAGTGTAAACCATCCTCCCTGGACCCATGTAATTCTCTTCTTCTTGTAGACAAATAGTATTTTTAAAACATTAAATAATGATATTGACCCCAAAGATATTTAAACTGGGATTTGATAGTGGAATTAACATCCCTCCCCACTGCTAGACAAGGAGAGAAAGTGTGAGTATTGCAAAGCCTGTTCACTAGATCAACACTTTTTGGCAGGATCTTATTTCATTTTGGGTCTTCAACAGAATCGTACTTATATTCAAATGTCCCTAAGACTCTGATATGAAGCATCAGCTCTTCACCTTGTAACAGAGGAGGTATTTTTGTTCATTTTGCAAGTCCGTGTAAGGTAAAGAGGAGGTGCAGTGGCATAAATAAATGCATCATGAAGACACATGAAATGAGTTTTTATTTTTTTTCATATCAGAATTCCAGCACTGAACTAAGTTCTTATAAGCCCTTGAGTAATCTGATTCATTTATCTTATCATCAGTACAATCTGTGCTCTTGAAAGCATTTTGGTGTTTAAAGTTTCTGTAGAAGCTGTTTGCAAGCAAACCTAGTGTTTGTGAATGGCCATCTGGAAATCGGGGGCTCTCCTATGCCTCAGCAGGGGCTGTGGCCCTGGCTCTGGAAGGGGCCATTGCCCAGTGAGAGATCATTTTTGACCCTTCCAGTTATATAGCCATTAAATGGCATTTAGAGTGGAAAGAGAATTTGAGTGCAGGGTTGTCAGCTTTCAAACTGCAAGCTTCAGAGAGCAGAAAATAATTGTCAGCCTACACCATGCATTGGGAAAGAAAGCTATGAAGATTGAGAGTTTCTGCCTTGAATTGACTTTTTTTGTGTGCTGTACTGCAGTGCCTGACTTTGTAAGCTGAGGCACAGGTAAGATGCAGGCTGTTTACCATTTTGACCCTTTTTTAGTTTTCCCCAACCCATAGGCTGAAAGTACCTGATTCTGTGTTAATGGAGCAAACTGAGGGTGCAGTGTCAGCACTGGTAACTCTGCTTTTCTCTGCCTTAGTGTGAGATACATCAGCCAAAACCAGGGTGCTTTGCTGCATCTTTTGGGATCTTTGGAGCAGTAGTGGCAAATTTAAAATGTCTGTCAGAAAGGAAGGAAATGTGATGAGATCTGAGCCAGGAGGTTACCTGTTTCTGCTTCATCTCCCCTCTCCAAGGTGTATCAGGCTAGGTCACACTGACAAGCTGACTGAAGAGGAGCTGAACAGTAAACTCGGGCTTTGAGTTTTGTACATCTTGCTGCATCTGCTTTCCTGTTCCTGTAGCTCCCTTGTTTCTCCATCAATTTTTCCAGCTCTCAGACTGTTGAATCATGTGTTGTACGCACCAGGTTTGGAGTTGAATTTTCTCATATATATCAGGCACAGCACTAGGAACCAGCAGTAACCACTGAATGACTGGGTTTTCCTTTACATGGCTTTAGTCTTAGCGTGTAAGGTCAGTACCACTACTGAGCTCAAGAAGACCAGAGACACTCTCCACGTTGCCTCCTGCCAGAGCCCATGTCCCTGCCCGCAGCAGCCATCCCAGCCAGAGGCCTTTCCTGAATGGGTCACCAATGGCAGTGGATTTTGCTGTTCCCCTCCTACAGCCAATGAAATGTCATGTGATAGGAAATAGAGCCAGCTGACCACTGATCCTGTTCATCTCCTCAGAAGGGGTTTCCACCTCCTTCCTATGTCTTCTCTTCACCAGTCTGGTTCACAGGACATTGCTGTCTGGCCCAGTCTCCTCTGGTGACACACACAGAGTGGGTGAACAGCACATCTGCCCTGATTGCTTCAATGCACATTGCACTGCAGTGAATAGTTAAGGACTGAATAGTTACGGAGTTTGTTTCTGCACTCCTCTTGCTATGCTGTTCCTGTTTTCTCTCTCCCCCAGCCCACTGCACCAAGAGGCTTGGTTTGGGAGAGAGAGAAGGAACCGCTGAGACAAGGGTGGCTAGAAGAAAAGCTGAGATGTTATGACTCACTAGGTGGGCCAGAACCAGGATGGGCTATGTTGGGCTGGGTGAGAGGAGACCTGTGTTTTTTTCCTTGCTGTTTCTGCCCCTGCTTTGCTTTGCAGATTTGAGCACTGTTCTGCCATTTTTTCATCCATAAAATGGAGTTCACACTGC